TTTGTATGTTATTGTCCTTTAGTTTATTATAAGACAACAATTTATTACTGTTAAATTAATATATATGTTACTTTATTTTGTCTAATTTTATCTCGTCCCATTATATTTTATGTGTTGTATTTTATGTATTATGTAAGACAGTGTGACTTGCCCAAGGTGACCCAGTGGGTTTCCATGGCTAAGGGGATTCGAACCCTGGTCTCCAAAGTTGTAGTCCAACAGTCAAACCACTATGCTATGCTGACTCTTAACTGCTGTCACTCGATCCTGTGGAATCCTGGGATCTGTAGTTTGCCTTCGCTGCCCAAGAGGGCTGGCGCCTCACCAAACTACAAGTCCCAGAATTCTGTCGCATAGAGCCATGGCAGTGAAAGTGGTGACAAACTGCATTATTTCTGAAGTATAGATGTACCCTATATGAGAGAAAGAAGTTGATAGTTTAAGCTTTCCATAGACTCAAGTCTGTGTGATCAGGCAGATGGACTTATGGTGACCCTAAGAGAGTAACACTCTCTCAGCCTCAGGGAAAAGCAATGGCAAACCTCCTCTGAACAATAAGCCCCTAGGTGATCTCCTTCCAAACAGAACCAAATCTGCACGAAACCCTGCAATAGCTTTGCTTTATGGCCACCGTAAAGTCAGAAATGACTTGAAGGTACACAACAACAACACACCAGAGCTGTCTGGCTGAGAATGCTAAATATCCCTTCCTAAACCTAAACCGAGAATGCTAAATATCCCTCCCTAAACTGCAAATCCTTGAGGATTTCAATGTCTCTCCTGGGCCATATTAGCTCCCACAAAGACCCATCACTTCAGTATTATAAGATGCAAAGAGTCCTTTTATTGAGTAAGATTGAGCCACATGGTTGGACTTATGCAAATGCTTAATAATGCTCTGTTGCACAAGTTATCATTCCAGCACTATTATTGTTATCTTATCTTATCATATGATGCTTGCAGAAAGGTAAACACATTACACACGGAGGATGGAACGGCATGTCTTGGAAAAAGGGTTCGATTAGGAGGCCCCACACTGCAACATCTTATTGCTGTTTGCAACTGTTCTTCGTTTTGTCAATGGTTATGGTTTTATTATTCTTTGAATGCTGATAGCCTTCTTGAGCACTAATTAATAAATATGGGATGAGGTTCCCTGAAACAAGTCCCCCCTGTGATCCCAAATGCTTGGATTCCCTAAGATGTTCTTCACACCTCTCTCTAGAGGGCCATTTGGGATAAAAATGAATATAATGGATTATTAGTATTTATTTATTTATTTATTTATTTATTTATTTATTTATTTTGTACAGGGACATAAGTTTACATGGCCCTTTACAGAAACAATCCAGTTGAAACATTAAAACCTGCCCAAGGCATACAATCTAAAGATAATGAAATATAAATACGCAATAATTACAAGCAAATTATACAAGTAAAAGGCAGCACTAGAAACACAGCTGACAAATAATCCAATATAAAATTCTAAAACATTGGGGACTCCTTTCATTGATCAGAATGGAGACTGCAGCCAAGAAATTCGAAAAAGAAGACTAGAGGTTTCCACACGAGGCACTAATAATGGAATTGAAGTGGAATTCCAACCTATGGTTCCTTTTCTCACAACGTCGTCACTCATCCGTTGCCAATCCGTTGCTATACCATTATTATTGTGCACTTTTGCAATGACAGGCATCTCATGTTAATGCAAAATTGTGCAATAATAATGGTATAATGACAAATTGGCAACAGATCAGCCACAAATGAGTGACGACATTGTGTGGAAAGGAGAGGAATCATAGGCTGTACTTCCATTTCAATTCCATCACTTGCGCCTCTTGCGGTAATCTCCTAGGAATGGGAAGAGCAGCTATGAAAGAACTAGTCAAGATCCTAAAGAGTAAAGATAGACAACTGAGCACCAGATTTAGGATAGTCCAAGGCTAGCCATTGTATTCCCCATCGTGGATGGATGCCAGAGATGGACAGGGAAGAAAGAGGATAAGAAGAAAATCACTTCATTTGAGATGTAGTGCTGGAGAAGAGTGCTGAGGATTTTGTTGACAGCCAAAAAGACAAATTGATGGATCCTTAAACAGATCAAGCTGGAAATCTCCCCGGAAGCCAAGATGATCAAATTGAGGTTGTACTTTGGTCACATCATGAGGAAGCAGGACTCATTGGAAAATGATTCTAATTTTTTAATATTGGAAATAACAGCAAAATCAACAACTACTACTTGCCAAACAGTGATACTTTGTTTGGTGGATTTTGGGTATTGGATTTGCTATATGGACAACACAGCCACTATATAATAATAATAATAATAATAATAATAATAATAATAATAATAATAATAATAATAATAATAATAATTTCTTACCTGCCTCTCCTTACAGATCAAGGCAATGAACAACAGCAATAAAAAACATAAGTTAAAACACATATCAGTTAAAATGACAAACAAGATGTATACCTGTTAAAACAATCTACGTATAAAACTCATCATTTAAAATCCACAGTTTAAAAATTATCTGGATAAGCCTACCGGAAGAAACCGGTCTTTAATGCTCTTTTAAATTCAGATGGAGTATTCAGCTGTCGGATCTCTTCCGGCAGGTCATTCCACAATTTGGGGGCGGCTGAAGAAAAAGTGCTCGGAAAGGTCATAGAAAGAGAGGAAGATCGCACTTAACAACCAACAACAACAGCAACAAAGATTTCTGTTGAAAGCATGTGGTGGAGCGGGTTGAGGGTTAGATTAAGACTCTGGAGACCAGGGTTCGAATCCCGACGTGGACATATAAACTCACTGGGTGACCTTGGCCGAGTCACACACTCTCAGCCCCAGAAAACCCAGTGATAAGTTTGCCTTAGGGTTACCGTAAGTCAGAAATGACTTGAAGGCACACAACAACAGCCTTCCATCGTTGCCCATCGCTGTTTTGCTACACGGTGCATTATGTAGGATATTACACCTGGTAATTACTCTGACCAAGTTGTTAATGGGATTGCAGGCTTTGCTCATATCCTCCTGGAAGGCTAGGTGTTATTAAACTAATTAGTATGGAAAGCAAAGCATGTTCCATAGGTATATAACTAGATATTGCTTGTGAGAATATCTTTTGTTATTTGTATAGTAACAAGTAGGGTTTGCACGAACAAGATGATGGGAAATTTGTTTGCAAGATAAGAAGAAAGTTGGGCTGTTTCAATAACTGGTAAGTACCATTTATTTATTTAAAAGTATCATGTTTGGAAAGCTAAGCCAAAAGTCATAGCATGCCAACAGTTGGGGGCAATTGCACTGATTTATAGCTTTTCAGCTCTGCTCTCATCAAACTGACTTTCAACTCTTACCAAATTAATCCAGGTTGAGACCGCTTTAACTGCCCTGGCTCAGTGCTAGAGAATCCTGGGAACTGTAGTTTATTGTGGCACCAGAGCTCTCTGACAGAGCAGGTTGAATGTCTCACAAAATTACAAATCCTAGAATTGCATTGCATTGGGCCATGGCAGTTAAAGTGGTGTCAAACTGCATTAATTCTGCAGTGTAGATGCAGCCCAAAAGGTAGCTGTGGAACAAACTTGGACACTTAAGTTCTCAGCCATCTGGAGCCTTATGAAACTACAAAACCCCAGGTTTCCATAGGATGGAATCATGGCAGTTGAAGTAGAATAATAACCCAATAATTGTGCCGTATGAATGGGACCCTGGATATTTGAGTCATATTTTGGGGAGACCATTAAGGAGATGGCAGGGAGGTCCCAATCCCACAATCTCTGATCCAGTTCTGCTGAGGAGAATGGGGGTCCCGGGTATGAATGCCATCATCCCCATGAGATTACTGGGAAGGATCCAAATCTGATTTAATGAACTATTACCCTCTTGTCTAGAAACTACATTTCCAGTCTTGAAAGGGAACCACCCTTCATAGTGGGAGATTGAGTCTGTGATGTTTGGTGATTTAACCTATAGGAGGTGAAGGCTAGAAGGTCCTCACTCAACCACAGAAACCCATTGGGTGGCTTTAGCCTCAGAGGATGGCAATGGGAAACCTCCTGTAAGAAAACTAGCCAAGAAACGCCCGTGATACCAGAGAGAGAGAGCTCTGGTGCCACAACAAACTACAAATCTTTGGACACGTGGGGATTCGAACCCTGGTCTCCAGAGTCATAGTCCAATGCTCAAACCACTATATAATGCTGGTCCCACTATGGGAAGTGAATTCCCCCAGATAGGATGGTTTTTATTTTTGAGCAGTCATGCATATATATATATATATATATATATATATATATATATATATATAAGCTGTTGTTTAAGCTGTTTAAGCATTGAGCCAGGACAGTTAAAGTGGTGTCAGCTTGGCTTGTTCCTGCAGTGTGAATGCAGCCTTTGTGCCAGGGGAGGAATCCAGAAATATGGCATGCCAGGGGTGAGCATTCAACCTCTGCTTAGAAAACTCAATTGAAGGAGAGTTGGTCATATTCTGAGCCAGTTGAATAGCATTTACCAGCAGGAAGTTCTTCCTGAAGTTTAATTGGAATCTCCTTTGTCATTTGAATCCAGTAGTCCAGTCTTTTCTTTCAGAGTAGCAGAGGATTAATCGGGATTGTCTCTGCCAAATTGCAATGCTTGTAAAGTTATTGGTTTATTCTCTATCGATATTGCTTGTGCTTTCTCTTCCAGATACCCAATTGCCATGGCTGCGGTGGACAGTTTTCCTCTCTTGCTCAGGGAGATCGGACGTTCCTGCAGTTGTTTCATAGAGACCCTGGCTCTTATTGGAGCTTTCTACACAGCCAAGACCTGCTTTACTATCTTGAGTGACACTTACACCCTAATCCGGGTGCATTTCATTCCCAGGCTGGTCAAGAGGGCTGATTTAGTCAAGCTGTATGGAAAATGGGCCATTGTCACAGGTGAGAGACCAGAAACCTTTGCATTCACTTACCTTGTCTGCTCCTCCAAACTCCAAGACTCTGCTGTTTTGATAGGCTTAAAGTGTGACATAGTGGTTTGTGTGTTTGACTACAACTCTGGAGATCAGGGATCGATTCCCAGTTTGGCTATGAAACCCACTGGGTGACATTGGGCAGGTCACATGCTCTCAGCCTCAGGGGAAGGCAAGGGCAAACCTCTGAATACATCTTTGTCAAGACAACCCCATGATAGGTTTGCCTTGGGTTGCCATGAATTGGAAATGACTTGATGGCACACAACACGACTAGCAACAAATATTTCACTAAGCAAGAATCTCCATTTGGATCTTGCATTTTCCATAGGAAACAGGATATTTTATTTCTTGTTGTGATATGCCTTCAAGCTATTCTGACTTAGTTGGAGCAACTTCTGGACAATTCTTGCCAAGAAAAACCTATGATAGGGTCACCATAAATTGGGAACGACTTGAAGACACACAACAACAACAAAGATTTAAGGTTGATGAGATCAATTTTGTGTTTTGAAACAGAACTCAGTCAATAGAAGATCCTCTGACCAGCCATATTTTATTTACTTTCAGTTTTATTTAGAATTTTTAACAAAGAAATCTGAATCCCCTACTATAGATCTACCAGAAAATCCTAATCTTCCTTCTGTCTTTCCCTGCTCTAGTTGTTAGACAGATTTCTAAGGAAATATCTTTTAAGATTGGAGTGCTTTGAGTTTTATTGCTGTCTTGGTTTACTGCAGGTTGCACTTCAGGTGTTGGAAAGGCCTATGCAAAAGAGTTGGCAAGTCATGGGGTGAACATCATCTTAATAAGCAGGAACAAGGAGAAGCTGGAAGCTGTTGCCAAAGAGCTAGTGGATTCCTACAAGATTGAAACAGCAGTGATTGTGGCAGACTTCAGCAAAGGCCGTGAGATCTACTCAGTCATTGAGAAAGCCCTTATGGGCAAAGAGATTGGCATCCTGGTGAATAACGCTGGTGTGTTCTATCCGCACCTGGACTGTTTCACCAGTTTAACAAAGCCTAACATTTGGGAACTCATTGATGTGAATATTGGAGCAGCTAGTATGATGCTGCATATGGTGTTGCCAGGGATGGTACAAAGAAAGAAAGGTGCTATTGTGAATGTTTCTTCCTTATCTTGCATCCATCCTTCCCCACAGATTGCAACATATTCTGCCTCCAAGGTAAACATAAAATTATAAATATGGGTCAAGTCTCCCTTGGTTGAAATGCTTGGGACCAGAAGTGTTTTGGATTTTGAATTTTTTCAGACTTTGGAATATTTGTATATACATAATGAGTATCTTTTCATACACATTATGTATAATTTACATATACATAACATTTTCATATAGGTAATGAGATAGCTTGGAGAGGGGACCCATGTAAACATGAAATTCATTTATGTTTCATAGACACCTGATACAAATAGCCTGATGGTAATTTTATACATAATAGTTTTAATAATTTTGTGCATGAGACAAAGTTTGTGTAGACTGAACCATCAGAAAGCAAAGGTGTCACTATCTCAGCCACCCATGTGGACGATTTTGGATTCTTTTGGATTTTGGAATTCTGGATAAGGGAAACTCAACCTCTCTCTCTCTCTCTGTCTCCCTCTCCCATTTTTAACATTATTCCTAGCAAATAGGTCTTTGCATGGAAATGAATGGTCTATTTCTCTGGTTAAGGAGTTTCTAAATTAGTAGTTATAGAGGATTTAGTATATAAATGAGGAGACTTTGTCTTCTTGAAGCTATGCATTTATAAATGAGACTGACCTCTTTCACACAACACTGTGAAAGCATTTTGACACCACTTGAATTGCAATGGCTCCTTCCTATGGAATCCTGGAATGTCTAGTTTCTTGAGGTATTTAGAATTTGCTGCAAGAAAAGTAGGATGCAGCCATGGCAGTTAAAGCAGCGTCAAAGTGCTATAACTGTAGAGTGAAAGAAACCTAAACGTGTGAAATTGTTAATTATTGCTAGGGACATTCTGTATAGAGAAATCAATGGAACAACTAGCATACAGAAAGTTATTTTGACAAGATCAGGGAAGTGAATGTTCATTGAGTAAAATTTTGTTCTGTAGCTACCTGTCCTAGTTGAGTTGTGTGATCTAACCTGCTAAGATCTGTATTTTCCCCAATAGTGAAACCTGAGAATATGAACTGTCCATCTTTCACTTTGATAGGATTATCTGGACTATTTAAGCCAAGCGCTTTATTATGAATATGCTCCCAAAGGCATCTTTGTTCAGACCTTACTTCCTGGCTTCGTCAGTACCAAAATGATAAAATTTATTGATGTGTTCTCAAAAGAGAGCTTTCTTTCACCTTCTGCTGAAGAGTATGTACACCATGCAATCACCACTCTTGGAATATCCAGAAGGACCACAGGATATTGGCCACATACAATTTTGGTAATATGATTCATTCCATCAGCTTTGGAATAAATTTTCTCTTGCATTTTCCAGGAAGCTTGCTGTGGCTGATTTAACAAAAACTAACCTAGAATCTTGGATATATATACCAAATGTCAACTAATGCTGTCAAATATCTGTCATTACTTAATTGCTGTATTTGGTGGTGGTAGGAGGGTAAAGGAGAGAAAGAGAAGCCACTGAACTTAAATTGCAACCTTAATGTTCAGAACTGTATGCATTGTTTTTGCAGCTATGAACGTACATGATTCTCTTTTCTGAAACTGGCTTGACTGGAGATGAGGGAATTAGCTCTTTTTTCATAGTTTTCTTCTTGGAAACATGCAGTGCCTCCATCAGCATATCTTTTGCTTGCACTGCATACAGTTGACATACGTATGAGGGCTGTAAACATCTTCTGACTGGTGCCAAGTGATACTGGCATAATGTTGGGTGTTTATATAGGTACACTGCTCAAGCTGAAACATCTCCAATGCTGTACTCGCCTCCCCCCATTTAAAAGAAAAGGCTTTCATGCTTGCATTGTCTGCTGCATTTTTATATGCTCTATTTATATATCTTAAGTATGCATACATCAGCGCATGCATGAGTTCATGCCTTCATATTACCTGTCAATGTCTGGCGAATCCATGAATTTCATAGGGTTTTTTCTGACAAGGAATACTCAGAAGTGGTTTGCTATTAATTTCCTCTGAAATATAGCCTACAGCTTCTGCTAATCCATGTCTAATTTCTATCCAAGTACTAACCAGGCCTTACCCTGCTTTGTTTCCAAGATTAAACAGGATCTGGTGCACACCCATTATTCATATAGGGATTAGCATCCTTTTGGTGCCTGACACAAGATATCCTGTAGAAATGGTTGGACATTTTTGTCTAATGCAGAACATCCATACTGGTTCAATGTTATGCATGTAGTGCCACTGTATATGTAGAGAGGCACTGGTTGCACAACATGGCCGTTCAACTCAAGTGTTGTGCTGGAGAAACTGCATAATCCCGCAGGCAGACATACACTATGTAATTTCCATATAGGATTGTGGCCATCTTATACAAATGTATAACATAGACATTTATGAGCCAGTATGGCATAGTGCTTTTAGTGTTGGACTATGACTCTGGAAACCAGGGTTTGATTCCCTGCTTGGCCATGAAAGCCACTAGATGACCTTAGATTTTATTTAATATGGATATTGTCAATGTTGCTGATGGCCAGAAAAATACATTGACTTCCTCACTAGCACCTGCAGTTTTGAAAGGTGACTTTAAAATATTTGAATTAAAAAAATAGCATGCTTGTATGAGGATTAAATAAACCTAATTTTTGTTTCATATCTTGCCCTGCAGCTTATGCTTGGAAATTACGTACCAGAATGGCTCTGGGCTTGGGGAATGAACAGAGCTGCTGCTTATCTTCATGGAACAAAGACACTTTGACGGGAGGAAACCATCATGGCTATCATCTAGAGAGTTCATACCACCTAGCAACTTAGTTTGTTGATTCCTGCAAAACCACATCTCTGGATGCATTTTCTTCTCATTTGTTGCAATTTCTCCTCCATTACCAAAGACTTAAAGAACTTTCTTTTTAGGTTGTATCTTGATGTAGGCATCCATCAAAGAGAAATTTAGAAGCAGAAACCTGTTTTGGTAGCTGGCCAGTTTTGCACAAAGGTCAGATTTTGACAAAGTACTAATTGATTTTGGTTAGAGTAGAGAATGCTGCAGCATTAAGAAAGCTTAACAGGGCTTCTTAAGCAACCAACCTTCACTAGTGTGAAAAGAACAGAGAAGATATGGATATATCATATCAAAACTGTGCACTATTGTTTAAATAGAATAGTTTAGGTTTCTACCTTATTATTTCCTTTATTTTCTGTGAAAAGACCTGAAGCTATTTTCAGAACTGGAAACAAATACTTTTGGGTACACTGATCTTAGCAGCTTCCTTCAGTGGTCTGTTTTGTATGGTCTGTTGTCTCTGGCCCAGCCTGTATATTTGTTAGGTCTTGGAAGGGGATATTTGGAGTATTACAGCTGAGAGATATTTACTTTCTGCATCAAAAAACAACAACACTGATCTTTCTGCCTCAAAAAATAAATTTAAAATAAGCAATGTGTCTACTGATCAAAACAATATAAACTCAGGATTTGTGTGAGCCTCTTTATTTTGAATTATATTGAATTCCTTAAATATATTTCACTGTCTTTACTCAACGTTTCAGGGGAACGTATTTGTAATTTTAAAGATATGCTTGTTAACAGTAGTACTGGTAATATTTACTCTCTTGATATATAAACTCGAGTTTACATTATCAAATAGCAAAGGGATCTTGTAACACCTTTGAGACTGAGTAAAGATGTTGTAACATAATCTTTTGTAGATTTGGTCTATGGTGCATCTGAGGATGTAGACCAAGTCTACAAAAGCTTATGCTACACTGTCCTGCTCAGTTAGTCTACAAGATCCCTTTGCATACTGATATTAGAGACTAAAATGGCTATGTCTTTGAATTTATCGGTTATGTTTACATTCTGCCTGGGCAGTGCTAAAATTCCTGTGCCCCAATGTTGAGGGGAAATGAAGGTGGCACATGTTATATTACACATTCAGTGCTCATAAGAGAACAATGAACAGAACCTTATAGTCCCCTTTTTCCTGCCAGCTGCAAGCTTACTGGCCACAGTTGGACTTTGCTCTGGAAAGCAATAAAAAAGCCGTTGGTAATGAGTTCCTGAATGGTCTCCTTTTATCTCCTGCCAGATGTGAATTTTTAAATAGCTTTCCCTGGGCAGCCGTATCTTTGCAACATTCCTTACTTAGCATTAAAGTGCCTGGTTTTTCAGCTGAATTCTTTATTAACTGTATTTCCATCCTGGTTTTCAGACAATTGCCGGCTACTTTCAAACATAACAATAAGCTAGAATAGCTGGGTATGTTGATTTCTTCTTTACAAGCAGTGTGCTTGTACATGCTTTCGTAACATTTTCTGTAAATCTTTATCTTTGTAAAACAACCCTCGGACTTCCTGGGTAAAAGAGCCCCTTTATATGCCACCTTGGAATGTGAAGGGGATTATTTTTCTAACACATCTTAAGGGCACTGGGTTGGTGAAAACTAAACTAAAATAGAAATATACAAGGACGGAAAAGCTTAGCATTACATCTGAACCTGGGTTGTCATTCCCCAACAGAGTTCAAAGCCAGGTGTTGAAGTCAGCTTTTCTTTTTCTGGTTTGTTTGGGGAAATGACCAACCAGGACCCATGCTTTGGAAACGTCTGTTTCCTCAATATTTTCCATGCATCATCTTATGATGTGCCCAAAGTCCAATTTGATAATCTTGGCTTCCAAGGAGAGTTCAGGCTTGATCTGTTCTAGGACCCATTTGTTTGTCTTTTTGGCCATTCATGGTATCCCCACCACTTTTCTCTAGCATCACATTCTCTCAAATGCATTGGTTTTCTTCCTATCTGCTTTCCTAACTGTCCAGCTCTCATCTCGGTACACGTTGATGCAGAATACAATGGCTTGTACGATTCTGACTTTAGTGCTCAGCTGTATATCTTTGCTCTTTAGGATC